CTTCGGTAAGGGGGGCGGCGGGACGGGCTGAGGGGTCCGCGGGGAGGGCAGCCGCGCCCGTTTGTACCTAAACACCCTCGCGAAGTGTCGTCCCCCACCTGGGAAAAACAGCCAACAAACCAGTTAATTTCACACAAAAAAGAAACCCGAAACACCTGGGTGTTGAATTGGCAGAATGAGGCTTGCTGTGATGCCAAGATGTGCATTTCCTAGAAATGTGTGCAAAACCAGAATGGTTTGGGTTCAAAGGGACCTCAAAGATCATCTAGTTCCAGATACATATATACAGCGCTACAGTTTCAACGGAAATCCTTGCATTTTTATGCGTAATGGTGAAAAAGGTGAGTCTTTCTTAGAAACTCCGAGCGATGTTCGCTTCCCTCAGCTTGCCCGTCGGGTACTGAGCAGAGTGATGCAGCCGAATGGGAAGTGACAAATACTGCAGGTTTTTCTAGCCGAGATAAAATTTAGTTATTTCCCGTCTGCAAGGGGCTGTTGAAATTCAATTGACTTGTATTTGATTCTGTCTCTACCGTCCTGTGTACAGGAAAAAAAAAAAAAAGAGTATGAGTCATTCTGACTTTACTCACAAGAGGTGTTGAGGAATATGAACGTTTTACGAAAAAGCTCCTAGATTTTACCTTTTTTAGCTAAAACGGATTAGAATGCTACTATGCTTTTTGCCCACTACTAATCTGTTTGATGACTGGCAGGTGTTACAAATGTGCCTTTTACCGTAGTGGAGACAAACCCCTCAGCAGAAAGGCCGTCATACTTCATTTTTTTCATATCCTTCTGTAGCTTGATAACAAATTTTAAAACAAAGTTTTTAGCATAAACCCAACTGATACAGGTAAGTAGTTAACTTGCAAAACTGTGTATTTAATTTCTCTTAATTATTTTCTTTTTCTTTTGAAGGCCAGATACAGAACCCAGCCAAAGTTCTCAATTCGGTTTTGAATCGCTACCCCAGAAGATTTGTCTCATCTGCGGTGACGAGGCGTCGGGTTGCCACTATGGAGTACTTACCTGTGGAAGTTGTAAAGTCTTCTTTAAAAGAGCGATGGAAGGTACTATATGATGCCATTGTTCCTAATTATCTGAAATACACACTTTTGGGCATTGCTAACGCCATACCTTTTATTTATTGCTGATGTTTAAAAATGTTATTGCTGTAGCAATGTTTTCTGTTCTGGCAACTGTTTAAATATTACAGTGTGTACTAACTAAATTCTTTTTTAATTGCTTTTTCTAGTATTGCTTGGTTTACTTTTCTTATTTGCTGTTTATTATTTATCTTTTATCAGTTAGTCTTTCCGAGTAGGAAGTTTCCTAAAAACTTTGTGTGTTACACAATTTGTTTTTAAAAGGGAAGATACTATTCAAAGGAAGATTTTGTGGGTATGAACTAATGATAGGCAGATTAGAATTTATTTTGGCTTCATTTTGCTTTTGAAGTCTTGGAATTTTTGTTGCTTGCAGGACGCACAATTTGGCTTTCTGAGATTCATGGAAGTATTTCAAGTTACACTGAACTATTTCAAGCCATGATGATAATAAATGAATTTGACTTTTTTTCCAAATAACCATTAAATTACAAGGTCAAGCTGCAGGTTTAATAAATCAGCAGCAATGCCTATGTTTATTTTTTCTTTTTTTGTATTAGATTATATGCCTTGTCCGTAAATACCCACTGAGATTTGAGGTATGAATACAAGAGCAGATTGCTTTATATAGTTCAGCTGATGAAGTGGTGAAACAAATCCTTCTACATTTTATGTTTTGTCTCCTTTTCTAATTTTTATCTTACCCTGCCAGAACTAGGATATTCAAATTCCTGCTCCATGCACTTAAAAAAGATTGTTTCAATGTATAGGATTCCTTAAAATAAAAAACAGCATCATGCATTTTCTTGTGATACAGAGTTGATTCAACTTTATAGAGTCTACTGCTCTTCAAATGAAAAGGGAAGTATTGGAAAATTAAAATCTTAGCAAATAATGTAATTAGATTTTTCTTGTTTCAGTGTGCTGTTACTTTCTACTTTAAGCATAGACTCCTGTTCTTCCTTTAACGTACTAGGTACTTGCAAAGTGATGACACTTGACTAGGTGAGCTAGGGGTACTTTTGAGCTAGTGCCTCATTTTCTCTAATACATTGATGGAATCCATGAGAAAGCTATGAGGGACATACGTGTTAGGTTCCAAGGAAAACACTTGTCCCTTAAGTCACTTAGAGGAATACATTTCAGTTTCACTGTGGCTCCTGGTCTCCTGGTTTGGCTTCACATTTTTTGCTTTGGTTGTTTTGGTAAATCAGCCATACACTTTTACAAAAGACAGGGAGTTGGAATTTTAAGAATGAGTGTAGGGTAATTTTTGAGTGACATGTTTTAATATGTTTTACTATTCCTTTTTCACCTATGCAGTAATATTGTAATTTGTTATTTGGATTTGTTTTCAACACTTTTGAATTTCATCTCTTTCCTAAACTAATACCCAGATGTGTTTGCGTAGTAGGTGAACCTGCTCAAACCCTCATATCATTACTCTTCAGTATAAATATTTTAATGATAAATGTCAAGAAGGCATGTAAATTAGTAGTAGGAATATCTTAAGGTTTTTTTCACTGATTATTTAATCAAAGTCTGTATTTGCAGAATATTACCAGATTAAGAATACAGACATACAGAGAAATAAGAGGTCAACACAATTACACAAACAAAATGCTTATGTTTTACAAAGCAATTCTATTTTTAATTTTTAAATTATTCCAAAGACTGAGAGTATGGTGAGGGACTGTGTTTGGCTTTTTCAGTAATATTCCAAGAACAGACAACTACCTCAGACTACTTGGCTGTGATAAGAAAAAAATACAGGTTATTGAGCCTTAGAAAAATGACAGGCATGAGTGGTGTGGGCATGAGCAAGATGAACAAATGCAGTTACTTCTTTTTGTGTAGAAATTGCAAGTCTACAGAGAGTTTGTTTAAGGAGGGGAACTTCTTCATTTAATGGAAGCATATAATTACTAGCATTGAAATAATCCCATTTATGAATAGATACATGATTTCATTTAGAGTTGAAGTACTTTCTGGTTTATTTCTTAACGGAAAGAATGATGACAGATTTCTCTTCTGTAAGAAGAAACAGTGTTTTTATTGTAGATGCAATAGAAAATAGTGTTTAAAAATTCACGGTGGCAATTGTCTAGATTGAAGATATTCTTCTTATGTAAAAATGTCCCCCTGCCCATCATTTCTTGAGTGGGAATGCATTATTTACCTCTTAAAATTTTTAGTACTACTACAGATGTTGTTTTTTTTTTAAATAATAATTCATGCAAATAAGATAAAGTTTTGTGAGTGCAAATTCATGATCAAAACTCTACTTTTCATGTACTTGCCATAAAATACTGATCACTATGAGAAATTAAAACATGATTGGAAATAGATGGCTTTTGCTACTTCTTGGATTTTCTGTATTTTGTGATCTTTTTCGTATGTTAACAGGTTTTTGGGTGTGTAGATAGCAAGGTCCATAATATAGGGATGCTAAATTTGTTGGAAAGTGTCAGTTTTCTATTTTAATTATTTCAGTAGTCTCAGATGTGTTGGCTGTTTCAAATCTAATAGCCTATGTAATTTTCTTCACAGAAATTGTCCTATTCATACACCATGTATTTCACTATGTGGAAAATACGGTGTTAGTTGAATGCTTCCTTTGGGACAAAATGAACCATTATGTTATCCAGAAAGCTCCATTTTTCATCTCTGATATTTTTGAAATAAAACCAGAGCTTATTTAAAATGCTCAAACTGCATAATCATTTAAAACTGTACAGGTGAACCTAGAAATGATTCTATACTAAGTATGATTTAAACATACACTTGAATATAACTAGCAGATACACATACAGATTCACAGGGGGTCAGAACCGTGTGAGGATTACTAAAATGAAAGTGTAGATTTACAATTGTTTTATCATGTTGGCAACAATTTCTTAAATATAAATGATTTGGTAGGTATTTTCTGTCTTTTGTGTTCTTGGCTCCCCATAGTGGAGAGAACATGTACCTAAGGGACAAAAATACTGATTGTTTTTTTAGAAACACTTATTTGCTTTTAGAGGTTGCGCATTCTCCATTCATCCCTTAAAAGGATGGATTTACTAGTCCATTGGTTCACTTATTGTACAAATGGCCTGCGTTCTTGGCTTTTTGTTGAATGCGTCTCCTTTGCAGTAGTTTTACTAATGAAAAATTAAAATTACCTAAATCCTGAAAAAAACATGCTGTATTTTCTATATAAAATCCCACTTCTAATTTTTGTTCTATATTTATATAAAGCATTTGCATTGTACTTTGTGTATATTATTGACACCTAATGAAAGTACTTGTCTGAAATTGAGGAGTTTGTGCCAACATAAATGCATGATATTACAGCAGATGGGTCAGAAATTAACTCTTGGTTTGTTTAAATACCTAAGACTCTATTACAAAATTGATCTAATGATTATATAGAAGATTTGTCTAGTTTTAATATGTGCCTCATAGTAACAGCGCTGTACAGATAATAGCGTCAGGGGGCGAGCTCAAGCAGATGTAGTAGCTAACACTTAGCTGACAAAGTGTGAACTTTTCTTCTCTCCGAGACCTGAATTTGGCAAACTCGACCTGGCAGAAAGTAGGGATTCCACAAGAGTTTTGACTGCATATGGAGATGTACTCGTGGAGGAAAGTAAAGATGAGCTACATTTACAGTAAGAGGGCCGCCCGTGACTTCAGCTGAACTTTCTGTCAGGTCTTTCTGACCCGTGTTACGTACAGGCAGTTTTGTGATGATAACGTGATTCACTACGTAAGCAGTGGAATACTGTACGTACAGAAAATTACTGGGCTAAACAGTTGTGCTTTTCCATAGCTTAAGAATGTGAAGTGGCACAGCATGCCAAATAGTTTTAAAAATGCCAACCATTCATAGAAAATCCTTTCTGAAAACAGAGTGAAAGGCAATACTATAGAGACCCTTTCATCTGTGAAATTGATGAAGCAGATTTAAAACTTTTTTTTTTTTCTAACTCTGCAGGGATTTCCAATTTTTAATCCAACTTTTCAGGTTGGATCTTGGCATCAGAATTTGGTACAGTCTGTACTGTAAACCCAGTAGCGAGGAAGGTTTCATGAAGTAGAAAACAACAAACATGCAAAGCATACCTATAGCAGGTTGAGAGATGGAAATGCTTTTCACTTAATACAATATTTAGTATTATTAAAGCTCTTTTATTTTGCACATGACCAAAATATGTTAATATCCAGAAAGCTAAGTGTATTTCCAAATTCACATGTAGATTGAGGGTCCTAAAATTCCAGTGGGAAATGTCACTTTTGTGAGAACAAAGAATTTGCATTATGAAAAGGGAAAATCTGTACTGTTACATGATTGTATATATTCATAATCCTTCTGACTTCAAAAGTATTTGTTTTTCAGCTATCTGACAAACATTAATTTGATTAATTGGTTCATATGAGGAACAACAACTGAGTGAGCTACAACTGTATTCATTCTGGTACTTTGGCTGTTGTGCTAATGCTGGGCTTCCTACTGCTCTCATTGTGACTTATTACTGCTTTCCTGACAGCTGTGGCTTAGAACAGAATCAGCTGCAGAAATGTGAATTACCACAATGTTTAGCATAACTTTATGTGGCATTTTAGCAACAGTATCAAATATTACATTAAAGACCTTTTCAGGTGGAATGGAGACTATTTCAGGTAGTGTAAAACTACATATATTAAAGAGCACCATCAACTAACTGACTGCTCAGTGTTGCTGGATACTCCTCTTTTCTAACTTAGATGTGCACAGTGTGAGTAACCTCAGCTGCTCATCTTAAGTTCACTTTACAGTGAATGGAGAGAAACAAGAACTTCTAGGAAGGAATTCACTGACTTATTTTAGGTATCTACTTGGGGTGAATATAACAGTACTCTAAAGGTAACTATTTCTCAGCACCTATTATAAAGGAGTGTCAGGTCTGCAGGTGGTGATATAAATCCCACCCATATCA